TTCCAGGGAGCTGACCCATGTGGTGTAGACCTCACCTGTCCCAGTCTCTGCTCCCCTCAGTAGTGTATTCAGTAGATCTACCTATAATGTTTCCCACTCTGGTGAGTCCTTTTACCCCTACCCACACCTCTGGCTTGTACCCCAATTTTGTACAAAAAAATCTTTTTAAAGGTGCTGATTAATCTGCAAAGTTCTACAAAACATTAGAAAGTTTCTGTTGTGTTTTGCCACCTTTTTTCTTTAATTGAATGTAAACATGTGAAATGGAAGAGAACTTAAAATACATGCAAGTCTGTAGTGATTACTTTTGGGAAGGCAGTGAGGTCTTGGGAGTGGTGGTAGAATGATTTATAATTCTGGATACCTAGATGATGTGTAACTATGGCTTATGTAAGAGAAAGTGTACTCTTGCCATTGGATTTCTGAGGTGGAACTTTTCAGACTGCAAAAGCTGGGACCAGGAGTAGGATGCTTAAGTGAGATGTGAATGTGAAATTTAAGAACTGAAGCTATAGTGTTGATTAAATTATTCATGAAGTCACCCAAGATGATATCAAATATTGAAACTTGCTTCTGGTGGCGCAAGGGGTTCAGTCTCAGCACCACGAAGCTAGCTGCAGCCACTGCAGCACAGGTTTGAACCCCGGCCAGGGAGGTGACCCACATGGTACAGTAGACCTCTCCTGTTTCCTCGCTGCTGCCCTATGTTTCAGTAGATTCTCCTGCTTTGCTCCCACTTTCTCTGGTGAGTCCTTTCACTGTACCACAGCTCTTGCATGCATAAATAAGTCAAGTCTTTTTAAAAAGGAAAGAAGCTTGGATAAACTATTACCTATTTAGGATTCAAGAAATAGGAACACTATATCAGAACTTTTTTTTTAAGATTTATTTGTGCATACAGAACTGGGGTACAGGCCAGAGGCTCAGGGGCGGCAAGAAGCTTCACCAGAGACAGTACCCTGCTGAGGAGAGCAGCAGGTGGGTCAGGAGAGGTCTGCCGCGCCATATGGTCACCTCCGGGGCAGACGGCAATCTAACTCATGCAGAAGTGCCTTTAGCTTCTTAGTGCTGTGCTTTAACCCGCTGCGCCACCAAGGAGGGCCATATATCAGAACGCTTAACAGAGTCGATGGTTTGGAAAAAACGTTAAGATCTATCCCAAACTAAAAATGTAAGCTATTAGAAGTTTAGCGATTTATCTGATTATGAGATTGGAGGTTGCGGAGGGAACAAGGGCAGAAAGGAGTTGGAAAAGTAAAATGGTCACAAGCTTGAATACAGTGGGGAAATAGCTCTATACCTCCACCTCAATATTGAAAGCATTAGCATCTGTTGCTAAAATAAAAAGGTTGTTACATACAAGATAAAATTTTACTAAGAGGACAAAGGTAAGTGATACATTTCAAAAAGTGTCGAGCTTCAATTAGCTGAAAGGTTATATGAAAATTTTTTTTTAGGATGGAAGCAATACTTTTTTTTAACATTCTTCATCTTGTGCATTTTTCCATCTCAATTGTAATCCCCATGGGCTTTCCATCACCAGTTCACCCATATGCCATCAGCCACTCTTCCCACCCTAGTTCCGATCCCATTCACCCTCCCACACCCATAAAATGTCTCTGGTTTATTATAGTTGTTCATTGTTTTCATTTTTACTCTATTACATTTGTTAGTCTCTCTTTTTTTCCTTCCCTGGTCCCTTAGGCTCCTGCTATGAGTGAAACCATCTGGTGTTTTTCTGAAAATATTTATTTTTACATGTGGATTATATGTCAATATAAATCTGATGGGTCAAAGTTCTGGCCAAAACCGAAGTTGGCAATAGAAAACTGAAATTCTCAAGTGAGAGTCAATCTCGCTGCAAAGTGTGGAAGGAGGAATTCAGAGCTTGGCGTTTTCAGTCAAACTCTTCAGGCATAGTCAGGAAATAATGGACTGGCAAATTATGGTTTGAGAAAGTAAGGTAAATCCAAACATTTGCCTTTAGTTTTCTGAGGGCCTGATACCAAATACTTACTTGGCAATTGCTTCAGATGAACAAGTTGGCTTGGAAAGGGTCTATTTCTCAGTTGTATTGAATTAGGTAATAATCACATACATGTAATCTATAGATAGATGCTAGGTCGTGTACTTTTTTTTTTAAGATTGATTTATTTATGCACACAGAACTGGGATACAGGCCAGAGATGCAGGGGCGGTGAGAAGCTTCACTAGAGACAGACTTGGGAGCAGAACAGGCCCACTGAGAAAGCACACTGCTGAGGGGAGCAGCGGGTGGGTCAGGAGGGTCAGGAGAGGTCTGCCGCGCCACGTGGGTCAGCTCCAGGGCAGGGATGGAACTCGTGCTGAAGTGGCTTTACTAGAGTCCGGTTAGCTAATGCATCCCATCCGCAGTTACGATTTCCCGTGGTGAGAACCGCGACGAATCGCAACAGCTTTTCAAATACACAATCTGCGGTGTGAGCCTAGCGGTCATGCCATACATTACACTCCAAAGCTTCAACTGGAGTTGGTACCCTTTGACCAACACTCCCCCATTTCCTCCACCCCACAACTAGCCACCACCATTCTCGTTTTCCATGCGTATGGATGTAAGCAGTACCTTCTGGAATGATTTTGTTGATGCAAAGACTAAGAGGCTCAGTCTTTCCACGGCTGACTTCTTCATGGCGGCCAAGACTAGTCCAGTCCTCTCGGTGTGGAAGTGTGTCCCACCCTCTGATGAGCCTAAGGGACACTCACCGACATGGGCAGGCTGCACACCTCTCAGGTCATGTCCCACCCAAACGTCGTGTCTTTGGTGAGGCAGCTGCAGCTGCGTCTCTGCTCGCTGTGGAGGTACATGCCGTGGGGTGGTGCGTGCACACGCGGTGGTGTGGTCACGCAGTCATCTGGCGATGTGGCTGCTGCCCCCACGCGGCTGTAGTGAGGAAGTTTAGCTTTTCCAGATTCCAAATAGAAGGGAGCCACAGAGTAGTTGCTTTTATCTGACTGACTTCACTTACTGTGCCCTCAATGACAGGAATTTCCTTTTTTAAAATTATTTTTATTTACTTATGCATACAAGAACTGGGGTGTAGGCCAGAGGTGTGGGGGTGAGAGAATTCACCATAGAATGGGGAGCAGAACAGGTGGACCTACTGAAATACTGCTTGGGGAGCAGTAGGGGAGACAGGAGAGGTCTGCTGCACCCTGGGGTCACTCCCTGGCCGGGGATGGAACTTGTGCTGCAGTGGCTGCGGAGAGCTTCATAGTGCTGTGTTTTAAACCTTTGCACAACCAGGGAGGGGCCCTTCCCATGATTCTTAATACTATGTTCTTTGGTCTTATTCCTCTTGTGTTACCTTGGCTTCATTTTCTCTGCTTTTTACAAACATGTTGCTGTTTTCTTGGGTTCTTTCCCTCTTACTAGGCAAGATTACCATAGGCACCTCAAATTTATTCTCTTATTTTCTCCTTTATTTCCTATGATACCTATATAGTGCCAAACAGGAAACTTTCTCATGTGCCATGCTTAACTATTTAATATAGCCATGCCAGTCATAAAAGGAAGGTTAAGGGTATCCTCCATCCAGCCCTAAGTGACTCAAGAAGACACAAAGCTTCCCTGCTCTCGGCGCTATCACCACTATGGCCTGAGTTTGATTCCTGGGCCATTGCGCTCACCCACATATGGTGCAGCTCTCCTGTCTGGTTTGCTGCTCCCCTTCGCTGTGTATTTTGGTATATCTACCTGTTCTACTCTCCTCTCCTCTCACCTCCTGCATGTCCGGCCTACACCCCTAGTTCTTAGATGCAATAAATAAATCTTAAAAAAAAAAAAAAAAAAGCCTACAGGGCCCTCCCTGGTGGCACAAGGGGTCAAATCTCAGCACTGTGAAGCCATGGGAGGCCACTGCCTCAGGAGTTCAATCCCTAGCCTGGAAGCTGACCCACATGACTCAGCAGACCTGTCTCCCTCCCTGCTGCTTCCCTCAGCAGTGGATTTCAGTCGGCCTGCCTGTTCTGCTCCCCACTCTGTGTCTGGTGAACCCACACCTCTCGCCTATACCACAGTTCTTATATGCAGAAATAAAGACTTCCCACACATCTACCTCTGCCTAGTTTCCTACCCCATCAGATTTGCCTCCTGCTTCTGATTCAAAATTCATCTCTTTACTACCCTGTTTCCTTTCCTCACCTGCAGTTCCACAAAAGGAACATGCTGTTTCCATGGAAACTTATGTTCGGAATTTTCTTTTTTCCTAATTACCATAACAAGTTCTCACATTTCACAACTCCGGCCTATCAGCCGCCTCCATTTTGAGGCAATTTCTAAGCGACCTAAATTTAGCTGCTCTTTCGTGCACCCACATTTTACCTTCTACTAGCCGGGGCCCATAATATTTTATTACATTATTTGCTCATCTGTCTTTATCTGCCTTTAGTTACAAGGAAGGTCTTAAATCTTACTTCTTGCCTCCTTATGCCTAGTACACACCAGTTAATCGACTGGTACAGTAGTTTCTTTCGTTTCACTTGTGTGATCACAGATTCTGTCCAGACCCCTGAGCTGCTGAAGCTGACTGGAAGTTTCCAACCTCACTGCTGCGAAAGGAAAGCCGTGTTTTGCCTCTAGAAGAGGCCCTGGACTTCGCCAAGGTCACTGTCAGTGGTATTTCAGGACGCCAGTACTCCCCCAACACCCGCCCGAGACTGTCACCCAGCTAGCTCAAGGTCCTATCTAAGGAGAGGGCCAAGGACGGCCAAAGGCAGCCCACGTGCTTCCCGGCCGGAACTCGGCCCCTTTCTTAGACGTAGTTCCTCCGAGTACGCCCCGCAATTGACATCTGAGTCGTCCAGTTGTGTTTCGAAGTTTTGAGGGCTGCCCCTCTAGCAACGTCCAGTGAAAAGCAGGAATTCAGATTAGCACTGATTTGGACCAATGGCTGAGAAGGGGAGATATCACTAGCCTATAGGAGCAAAGCGGGCAAAGATGAGCAGCACGCTTGTCCAATGAGCGTGCCTACTGCAGAGTCTGCCTCGCCCCAGCTGCTGGGGAGCTGGCAGCCCCGCCGCTGCAGCGATCAGTCTCCGCCCGGACTCCGCCATGTTGGGTCTTGTGGGTCGTGTGGCAGCCGCCTCGGCCTCCGGGGCCTTGCGGGGACTCGGCCCTTCCGCGCCTCTGCCCCAAGCTCAGCTCTTGCTGCGGGCGGCTCCAGCGGCGCTCCAACCCGGTAAGTGCCTTCGCCGAGGAGCTGGGAGTTCAGTGCAGCCGCCCCATGACCTTGAGCCTGGGGTCGGTCGCCGCGCGGGCTTAAGGGGGGCTGAAGGGACGTCGGGGCCAGGGCCCTGGCCGTTGTGGGCGGGAGAAAAGAGGCTCGCCTTGTGGAGCTTTCTTCGACCTCACCCCTTCTCTGGGAAAGGGACGCGTGCTGTGTGACAGCCAGTGCGGGCAGTGCGTTGACCTTCCCGCCGAGTGGGCGCCCCGGGCTCGGGGATAAGGGGGTTTTTGCGTGAGGAGGGGAAGATTGTGCAGGGCTTCGCCGCTGCGCGGCCTCGCGTCTGGACACGCCTCCCGTGCAAGCGGAAGGAGGTTGGGCCTGGGTCGAATTCACCAATCCTTGTGGGCTAAGTGCGGGTTTCCAATGACCTTTAACTGTCCTCACCGCAGCACCTTCCAATGTCTCTTGTCTGTCAGCCAGAGACTATGCCGCCCAGACAGCTCCCTCCGCGAAGCCCGGCGCCGCCACCGGCCGCATCGTGGCCGTCATCGGTGCGGTGGTGGATGTCCAGTTTGACGAGGGCCTGCCACCCATCCTGAATGCCCTGGAGGTGCAAGGCAGGGAGACCAGGCTGGTTTTGGAGGTGGCCCAGCACCTGGGTAAGTAGAATTCGGTGAGGGTAGGAAAGAGTGTGTTTAGCCCAAGTAGCCCCGAAACCAGGCCATCTCCCTTCTGTGATGATGCTACCAAAATGACTTTCGTTCTTCTGAGTTTGGTGAAGCCACGTTTAGGTTCTGAGAAAGGGGTTTTGGTCGCTCATGTCAGCTACACTACTTAAATATGGAGCCCCCTTGTCCTGAGACAGCCCAATGCCTTCATCTCACAGGTGAGAGCACTGTAAGGACCATTGCCATGGATGGCACGGAAGGTTTGGTCAGAGGCCAGAAAGTCCTGGATTCTGGTGCGCCGATCAAAATTCCTGTTGGTCCTGAGACCTTGGGCAGAATCATGAATGTTATCGGAGAGCCTATTGACGAGAGAGGGCCCATCAAAACCAAGCAGTAAGTATTCCTCTGCTGCATCTGCTTACAAATGAACTGCTTTTCATTGCAGCTTTTTGTGTTGACACCACTAGATTGTGGGTTTTCCCTGTAAACAGCACTTGAAATGCCAACATTCAGTCACTAAAGTCACATGTTGCCCCCCCCCTTTTTAAAGACAATTAAAGCTGTAAAAATTGACTGTAAGAAACCAAGTTATTTTAGTGAGTTTTAATATCAGTGACTTCGGGATGCTGGGGCTTCCGGTGCCTTTGGTGTGGGGCCCAGGAAAGAAGCCTGTCAGGGAACGGGTTGTTTCCTGAGTTAGTGAAATTCTCTGTTGTAGAATGTGCTTGGGGACAGCTTGTCTAGCGCGCTGTGTAACAAGATAAGACTGAGTAAAAGTCAGCGTGAGTGGAGTGGAGCCTTTCACTAATGCGGGCACGGACCCTCTTCTGCCACTACAGATACGCCCCCATTCATGCGGAGGCTCCTGAGTTCATAGAGATGAGTGTTGAGCAGGAAATTTTGGTTACTGGCATCAAGGTCGTGGATCTGCTGGCTCCCTACGCCAAGGGTGGCAAAATTGGTATGTTGGCGGTGGGAACGTGAAGTCATGGGTGGGCAGTGAGTTCTCTGTCACTGATGAGTAGCTTCTGACTTTCGTTCTTCTGAGTTTGCTGAAGCCAGATGCCATTCTGAGAAGGGAAGAGGAAGGAAACTTTCTCTTTGGCAAGTTTGCTTATTTGGAAATGCAAAACGTTGAATGGGATTCTTTACTCTAACCTCTCCCAGGGCTCTTTGGCGGGGCCGGAGTTGGCAAGACTGTACTGATCATGGAGTTAATCAATAATGTCGCCAAAGCCCACGGTGGCTACTCCGTATTTGCTGGTGTTGGCGAGAGGACCCGAGAAGGCAATGACTTATACCATGAAATGATTGAGTCTGGTGTGATCAACTTAAAAGATGCAACCTCCAAGGTGAGCGCTAACCACTTAGTAGCTGTCCGAGAATACTGGTAGCTGCATTGCTAGCCAGACAGGTTTGCATTTCCATCTTCGCGCCCCAGGACCTCTGGAGGGCGGCTTGTCAGTGCTTCCACTTAAGTGTTAGTAAGCTAGTGCGCATTCCTTTCCTCAACATCAGATTACAAACTTTTGGGGTAAATGTCTCATTTGAAAGCTCATTGCGGGTGGGGAGAATTCCTGTGTGCAGGTAAACTGACTTTGGGCACATATGTCATGCTTCAGGTAACTCACTTTTTGTGCCGCTAACTTAAGTTCACGCTACAGGCGTTTTACCTCAGTAATGAAAGAAGTGATCTGGTGTTTTGAATTGTGCTTCTAAAATGGAAAAAGTTTGTGAGAAAAAACCCAACACCTTCTGAGGAGGGGTTTTATTGGTGCTGTGTCTGACTTGGCGCCCGTGGCTCTGGCTGGTAGGCCCTTCTACCGGGTTTTCTGATGTGATCACTGCAGGTCGCGCTGGTGTACGGTCAGATGAATGAGCCGCCGGGTGCTCGCGCCCGGGTAGCCCTGACTGGACTGACTGTGGCTGAATACTTCAGAGACCAAGAAGGTCAAGACGTGCTGCTATTTATTGACAACATCTTCCGCTTCACCCAGGCTGGCTCAGAGGTGAGAGACTATCTGTCCATTTGCCCTTTCCATGGCCTAAGGTGAAGCTAGAGATACAGACTCCTAATCCTTTTGTTTCTTAAAATTTCTTTAGGTGTCTGCTTTATTGGGCAGAATCCCTTCTGCTGTGGGGTATCAGCCTACCCTGGCCACTGATATGGGCACCATGCAGGAAAGAATCACCACCACCAAAAAGGGCTCTATCACTTCTGTGCAGGTAAGAACTACGGATGGGAGAAGGTCGAATCTGTGTGGGGATTAAAATTAGTTAATTTTCAAAAAACTTGATTTGGTTCACGTGCTTCCTGAAATAATGATCAGATTCTGCATGTGAAAGCCCCCCTAAAAGATTGTGAAACGAATAATCTAAAGTAATTGGAGGGATGTGAGTAAGTGCAAACCAGAAAGTAGTTCTCTAGCCCGATGGAGTGTGGAGCTGCTCGGAAATAAGCTTTAAAAACGTACTAGTAAAGCTTCCTTGAACGACATCCCGTCTGCAAGAACTGGCATGAGTCATTTGCCGAGGGCACAGTTCGCAGTGTGCAAGGCTTTTGCCCTTTATCGACTGTTCAAAGTGGTTGTCGCTGGATGATCGGGAATGAAATGAAAACTTTTTCATTGCAGTTTAGAGTGACCGGATGATTTATAAGCTCACTCACCTGCTATTGGCGAGGGTGGGGAGGCTTTTTTGAGGTGGACTTGAATGCTGAGGTGGAGTGGGGTGAGGCGAGAGGTCAGAAAGGGAATGGCTTCGGTAGCATTACTGTACTTGTTCTTTACGGGTTCTTCACCCACCTCAGGCTATTTATGTGCCTGCTGATGACTTGACTGACCCTGCCCCGGCCACTACATTTGCCCACTTGGATGCCACCACCGTGCTGTCTCGTGCCATTGCCGAGCTGGGCATCTATCCAGCTGTGGATCCTCTGGACTCCACCTCTCGCATCATGGACCCCAACATTGTTGGCAACGAGCATTACGATGTTGCCCGAGGGGTGCAGAAGATCTTGCAGGTGAGTACTGCAGGTGAGGTTAGTGACGCCGGGTCAGTCAGGGAGTTGGGGCCACGAGGACTAGCTCTTTCCTTGTGGCTTCACGTGGTTTGCTTTGGAGCCATGACCACATGGAGACAGCTTTTAGAGGTGCTAGTGAGAGTGCTTAGGTTTCTAGAAACTTGGTCTTTGGAATCCATTTTTTCTCAACACCAGATTTCGAGGGCAAAGGCCATGGGTCTTAGCTGAGGATCCTCATGACCCAAGTTTTTTACTTTGCCTCCACTAGAGAAACTAGGGTACTGGGGTAAGGTGCTAAAATACTTAGTGTACAGCTCCCTGCAAATGTAAGACATTATTTGCCCCTAATTTTTTTGTCCAAATTGAAGAAACATGAATATGTGCTAAGATTGAGATCTCTCAACCTTGTCTTCTCATAGGACTACAAATCCCTCCAGGACATCATTGCTATCCTGGGTATGGATGAACTTTCTGAGGAAGACAAATTGACTGTGTCCCGGGCACGGAAAATACAGCGTTTCTTGTCTCAGCCATTCCAGGTAGCTGAGGTCTTCACAGGTCATATGGGAAAGCTGGTTCCCCTGAAGGAAACCATTAAAGGGTTCCAGCAGATTTTGGCAGGTAAGATTTTTAATAATAAAGCTGAACATAAAGTGGCAGAAAGCTGAAGGAAATTTCTTGAATGCTCACAGTGCAGTTTCCGTTCCAGTAGTCATCACGCCCTACATCGATTTATTGTTTAATTGCATAGTTTTTAAATAAAAATACCAAGCAACTTACTGCCAGTTTTGTCTAGAAATACTCCACTTCTTAGAGTGGGACTTTTGATTCTTCTGTCAGCCCACACTGACCCTCAGTCAGTTGTAGCATCTTTATGAGGAAGATACTACACTGTTCTACAAATGAGGAAACTTGAAGCATAGGAAAGTTGAAGTGAACTGGCCTGGGTTTCATGCATCCAGAGTACAAGAGCAGGAATTTGAATCCTGGTTGTTTGACCCAATTTGTTTTTATGCTTGATATTAGCCAAAAGGCTGAGAAGTGATGAACTCAATTTGTTTTTAATCCATATCGTGTCCTCACTTACAAATTTAATTTGTGAAGAAAGTTAACCATTTTTTAGAAGACAGATTCATCTTTTATTTTATTTTTTTAAGATTTATTTATACATGCAGAACTAGGGTACAGGTCAGAGGTGCAGGGGTAAGAGGATTCACCAGAGACAGAGTGGGGAGCAGAACAGGCAGACTGAAATCCATTGCTGAGGGGGGAGCAGCGGGTGGGTCAGGAGAGGTCTGCCACCCTCACATGGTTCCCCCTACCCGGTCCCCCAACCCTTGCTGCAGCGGCTGAGATCATTTCATAGTGCTGAATTTTAACACACTGGGATGCTGGGGAGGGCCGAAGGTTCATCATGGTCTTACTGGTGCCCTCAAGTGGTGAGGTAATGCACTCAACGGTCGGAAGTTTATAATCCCCCTGCTTCTCATCCCTTGTGTTTTTTTCCTCCTCCCCATATAGGTGAATATGATCATCTCCCAGAACAGGCCTTCTATATGGTGGGACCCATTGAAGAAGCTGTGGCAAAGGCAGATAAATTGGCTGAAGAGCATTCGTGAAGCATTTCTGTGGCAGACTCAAAGCACTCACCCCTCACGTGCTGTATCTCTCCTTGCCCCTAATCTGAAAGTTTGGTTTTCGCTATAGCCCATGTGAAAGAGCCTCGATTGAAGAAGACACTGTTATGTCTGAAGAGTATTTAAGGATTCCAATAAAACGTATCTCCCTCAATCTCTCTTGTTTTCTTGGTTTTGACCGCATAGCTGACATGTTAACAATTGTTAATTGTAAGAAGCAGCCCAAATTATGTCAGATCTTTGAGATGGGGCTCTCATAAAAGCCATTTTCTTGTGGACATTGTGGGTCTTTTGAGGGTTTTCCTGTGAAGAATGTGATCTCTGGTACAGGGTACCAGTTCAGTCCTTTTGAGAAAAGCAAATTGATTTTTGTAGAAGAACGTGGGGGTGGGGCTTAGAAACATCTATAGATTAATCAGTGAACTTAAGATTTTTCGGATTCAATGCTGATCGATGCAAAAGTTGAGTTTTTTTTTTTTTTTAAGAAAATACCTAGTCACTTGGCCAAGTCTAGGTTTGGGGTTCACGGAGGCTATGCAAGGGTATTGAGGTTTCACCTGCGCCCTAAGATCCCTTGTGGGAGTTTGGGAAAGACAAAGGAAGACAGAGTTAGGATTTCCTGGACTTCTGGGCATGGGTTTATGAACTAAACATTAGGTTAGCTAGTACCCTCGTTTTAGCGCACTCAGGTGGGGGGTTGTGAGGAGTACTCAAAAAGTACAACCCGGTTCCATTTGAAACGTGCGTGTCAAGTGCAAGGTCAGCTGTGCCACCCCGTCAGTTTCCTGGGCCCAGACCCGGCTCCTACTGCCGCCTAGTGGTCCCACCGAAGACTGCAGGGACACTGATCTCACCATTTTGAAATCCATGAAGGCCATTTGCTGGGATGTGGTTCTCGGCTAATGACTGTTTACAAACCAGCTGGGGCTTTTGTCCTGAGGAGGAGCCAGTATCTATAAGCTCCACCCCTGAGGCATTCAAATTGGGTAGGAGCAGGGCGGGAACAAACATCCCAGTTGAGAGGCCCTTGGGGGCTTAAGGTTGGGGAGGGGCCTTGGGAGAGGCGCCAGGGGTGGAGCAGGGGCCTCTAAGTTTCCTCCCATCTGCCTATGACGTCCTTGGCACCAGGCTCTCCCGTGTCATGATCTGGACGGAAGGTGGAGCCTCTGAGCCGCCGGTGCCAGGTAGTTTGCTCCCAGAAAAGCTCGGGTTGGGGGAAATGCTGAGTTTGGGGGCGGGGGCGCTTCCTCTGGGGCCTAACTCGGACGCGTAAGGAGCCGGGCAGCAGGGCGCGGGGTACGGGTCAGCCCCGGTCTCCTCGTGTCACCAAGAAGCAGATCTGCCAACTGCGATCCTAAAGGTCGTTTGCATCGTTCCACACCCCTCCCCCACACGTTACGTGTCTGTGCGCACTAACATTCATCGAGAACCTTCTCAGTAGGTGCAACTACTAATTTCCTTCCCTCTTTACCACTCTCGGCTACCACGCCACTGGAGTGTCAACACAGTCTAACCTTCCTCCATATTTCTCCTGGCTCTGCCCTGTCCTCGCCTCCTCCTCCCTCTCCACCCAGAGAAAGCCCCGCCCTTCCCTCCTCCCTCCCCACCCCAGTCTGTCACACAGGGACATCACCCTACAGCAGTTCAGGCTGTGGTTCGCAGGAAGCATACATTGGCTTTTTGATTCGTGCTAGTTCCCAGCTCATAATCTGGGAGGATCTAACACCGGGCTTCCCGTGAAGGGGGACCCAAGGACAGAGAGGAGCTGGGTGGTCCCAGCCCCGGAGCCCGGCCAGCCTGCCATGGGTAAGTATGAGGACCAGCCCCCGGGGAAGGCCTGAGGGATACCTCCCTCCCGGGCTGACTCAGCAGGGGTGGGGCCTAACCTTTGCTCTTTTGGGGGGTGAAGGAGGGGAAACAGGACTTGGGGCACAGGACTCGGCTGCCGCCCAAGGGGTCACCGGCAGTGGCCCGCTCCTGGGAAGAGCCGAGACTCTACCCTCAAGTATGGGCTCTTTCCCCGCCCCCACCCCAGCCCCTCCAGCAGCTCCCGCTTAAGCGGCGGCGACCGAAGTGATACTGCGGAGCGGAGCTGGCCCCCCTGCAACGGTGAAGCCCACTTCGGGGGCGCGGGCGGGCTTAAGGAGCCTGCGCTCCCCAGTTCTCTCGCAGGCCTTTTAAGTCCCTGGTCTCCCTCCTCCCCCACCCGACCCACCGCCAGGTGGGGGCTGCACTGAGCAGCTGCTTCCTGTTGCCCCAGAGGTTGCGGCAAGGGCTGTGGTGGTTGGGGGAAGACCGAGCTCGAAGCGGGCCGCCTGCCCCGTCCCGGCAGCCTCGCCGGGGC